GGAAAAAAAAAAAAAAAAAAGACCAGGGTACTGCCAAGTAGGCAAATTTGAAAGTACGTGAGAGAGAGTAGTGCTTGGATCCTGACTATCTGAGGAGGTAGTAGGGAATGGAATCATAGCACAGGTGGAGGGATGGGAGCGGGTGGCTACAGATAGGTTTTTTTGGGTTTTTTTTTTAATTGTGGTAAAATATACATGACGTAAAGTTTACCATCTTAACAATATTTAGTGTACAGTTCAGTGGCAGTAAGTTGTGCCACCATTACCAGGATGCAGATGGTTTTGAGGTGGGAAGAGACAGGGAGTTGTCTCCAAGGGTCTCCTGGAACCATCATATATCTGCCCTTTTCTGTTTTTTTTATTTTTTATTTTTTTGAGTGGAGTCTCACTCTGTCACCCAGACTGGAGTGCAGTGGCCGTTCCCTGCCACCACAGCCTCGACCTTCTGGGCTCCCGCTATCCTTCCTCCTCAGCCTTCCAAGTGACTAGAGCTACAGGCGTGCACTACCATGCCCAGCTAATTTTCTTTTATTTTATTGTAGAGATGAGGTCTTGCCAAGTTGCCCAGGCGGGTCTCAAACCCGCGGGCTCAAGCAGTCCACTCATCTCAGCCTCCCAAAGGGCTGGGATTACAGGCTGAGCCCGTGGGTTCGAGACCCGCCTGGGCAACTTGGCAAGACCTCATCTCTTGCCAAGGGCAAGAGCTTGGCTTGCCCTTTTCAAAAACCACTACTCTTTCAAACTTTTCATTACTTCCCACCTACTTCTTGCTCCTTTGAAGCTCCACAGTACTTTGTGCCTCAATGTGGTTGTCATAGGCTGGTGAAGAAGATAACTTTCTGGAAGCTGGGCTCAATGACACTCATCCTTCTTGAGGTACCAGCATGGTCTGCAGGGCTTGGCCCATGAACCCTCTGTAAATGTGGAGTGAGTGAATGGGTCATCTTTGTTTTAGTAAGAAGCCACCATCAGGATTAATTGATTAGGTGAAATAAGGAACAGATAGTTTAGGCTTGGGGGCAGAGCTGAACAACTTGCCCTGTCCCTGGAGAGGTCTGATAGCTTGTATCTATATTTGGAGACAGCTGGGCTCCTGAGAGCACCCTTGTGTTTTCCCACCCTCATTTTGAGCATCCCCAAGCTGTAATTTGGACTGCTTGCTGTTCAGTTTACATGCCACCATCTATGTCAAGGACGTTTCTAAGGGCACTCTGTTAACTGCAGTTCTTGGTAAAAGCACCCTGATTGACTGCTGAAGCATCGATGCTGTAGAGTTTTCAATGACTGCAGACTGAGCCACAGCCATATGTCTGCTGCAAAAGTTCCTGTGAGTTCAATCTGCTTTGAAAAGTGAGCTACCAAGACAAGGCATGAGAACAACAGTTGGTTTGTTTCTGTACAGAAAAATCCTAACAGGAACACTCACCTTGACCCTGGGTACCAGGTGTTGCAGGGGGCAGAGAACCTGGGAGCCCAGAGCTCGAACTTTCTTGCAGGCAGGGACCTGAGAGACTCTACCTGTTCTCCCGTCCCATCCTCACGAAAAACCCTATAGGGAAGCATTTATTACCCCCATTTTATTGGTGGGCTTGCTTTGCCCAGGTTCATACTAGTTGGCTGAACTGGGATTTAACCCAGCCCTTTCTGTTATATACTGAGGGAATCTAAAAATTGGAGCAATCCCAGGGAAAGGCAGCTTTGTGAAGAGAGTATGGATGTTGTGTAGCAGGAGGAGCATTTAGCCAGTAGTTGAGAAAATGTGAAAAGATACTAAAATATTTGAATAGACCTGACCACTTTGGTCGGAGGTAGCATGATGGTGGTGGAAAGGGCACAGACTTTAGACTTGGATACCAGGTCTCCCTCTGGCTTAGCTTCCTTGAGGTCATAACCTCCGTGAGCTTAGAGATCATGTCTCATTCATCTCTGCATTACCAAAGCACCGAGTATACCCATGGTACACTGGGTACATATACTGGGTATATAGGAGGCATTCTGAATATACAGACAATGGAAAAGGTGTCCTCTTTCTTTCCCAAAACTGCTTTCTGGTGGTCTTGATCTTGACCCCTTCAGCTTCCTCCAGAATTTGGATCCATAAAATGATCTGTCTCTACCTCCTACCCTATATTAGTTTTCTAATGCAGCTATAGCAAGTTACCGCAAATTTAGAGGCTTAAAAATAACAAATTTACTCTCTTATAGTTCTTTTGCTTAGAATTTTGAAATGGGTCTCACTGGGCTAAAATTAAGATGTCAACAGGACCATGTACTTTCCTGGAGGATCTTGGGGGAGAATACATTTCCTTGCCCTTTGCAGCTTCCCTGGGCTACCCACATTCCTTGGCTCATGGCCCTCTTTCTTCATCTTCAAAGGCAGCAACATCCAGCCAAGTTGTCCTGGAGTTATATCACTCTGACAGAGTCTTCTGTTTCCTTCTTCCATTATTAAGCCTCACTGGTATTACATTGGGCCCACCTGGATAATCCAGGATAATCTCCCTATTTAAGGTCCATTAATTCTCCTTTGTCATGTTAACATAGCATATTCACAGAGATTAAGATGTGGACATATTGGGGGACTGTTCTGTCTAGCACATACTCTAATAAACACTCTCTCACAAGCTTCTTACCCCTTTACCTATAAAACTGTACTTCATAGCCCCTATCCTAAAATATAATTCTGGAGCAAATTTCCCTCTCAAACTGTGATCTCGTTCCTTCCAAACTTCATCTTCTCAGAAATAATATCTGATGTAGTCTCTCCTTAGTTGCTTACTGCTTGTCTCCTGGAACTTATTTAAAAAAAAAGTCCTGAACCTCCCAAATGATGAGTCCCCTGCTCACTTTCCTGGCCAGCTCTTCTGTGTCCTTTGACACTGTGGGTTCCCCTCCTTGGCTCTTTAGTATTCCTCTCACCTGTCTGCTTCTGAATCTCCTTTTTTCTCTTCTTCCTCTTGTTCCTAGAAGGCTTGGTCTTCAGTCAGCTATCATCCACCAATAATCTGATCTGCTCCCACAATCTTAAGTTTGAGCCTCATGCTAAGGAGTCCTAAAATCTACAGCTCTTGATCTGAGCGCTTTTCTTGATCCCTAGTGTGAATGTTTTTTTTTTTTTTTGAGACAGGTCTCATCACTGTGACTCAGGCTAGAGTACAGTGGCATGATTATGACTCTCACCACAGCCTCTACCTCGTGGGCTCAAGTGATCCTGCCTTAGCCCCCCAAGCATCTGGGGGTGAACCACTGTGCCCGGCTAATTTTTATCTTTTTTTTAGAGTTGAGGTCTCACTAGGTTGCCCAGGCTGGTCTTGAAATCCTGGAGTTAAGCAGTTCTCCTGCCTCAGCCTCCCAAAGTGCTGATATTGTAGGTGTTAGCCACCATGTTCATTCCCCAATGTGAATTTCTTATTGCCCCCCCCCGGGTATTTTTTTGTGTCTTTAAAGAGGGAATACAAGATTATTGGGGTATAGGAATGAAGCAAAATGAACTTTGTTTTTATCTTACCCCTTTACAGTCTGTTTTTGTTTTAAAATGTGTACTAGTGCATATAATTGATTGGTAGGTAATACATATGTTAGGGTACATACTCCTAATTGTTTTATTAACACTATCAAAAAAGTTTGGCTAGTGTGGGTTTTCCAGTTTGTTTTAGCCAAAGAACCCTTTCTTTAAGTGTAATCTTACTGACTTAAAAAATGCAAATCAAAAGCAGAACTGTTCTGGTTAACAGGAAGGTGGGGCCTTAAGCCTTTCCTGTTTACTCTAATGAAGGCTCCTGAGGTGCCTTCTTGATTTACATTTTGAAAACCACTGGTTTAGACAGTCGGTGTAGTTCAGGTCTGATTACAAGTATGTGCTCATGTAAATCATCAATAGTAGAAGACTCCCCCAGAATCCTCACTGCACCACCATATTTCTTCACGTTGTTACAGTATCACTCACTCATAGAAGCACAGATCCTGTTCTTTTATTTCTCCACACCTTCTTTCTTTCCTGGGTAGATCTCTGCACACAGTAGGTGCTCAGTGAATATTTGTTGAACGATTTGGCAAATGGACCTGAAACTTGTTGGTAAAATTTATGTTTGGAAGAGCAGGCTCTATTCTACCTGGATATAGCCTGCTTAGAATTTGTTTTTTCCTGACATTCCAAGTGTGGTTGGATGTGGAGTCTGTAGGTCCTGGGCGCCATCTCTGAAGTGGCACTGTAGCATTTTAAAGCATTGGTGTTGTCACAGTTGCAAAGTGGCCCTCTTTCAGGCCTCATTTCCTCGTTTAATGGATTTTGCTAACCCCGTGTCTCCTAATATCAGTATAACCAAGTTCTAAGTGTGTTGATTAGAAAGAAATTCTTATGTAGTATTACTGAGTCAATCTTGTACATCTAAACCTAATTTACATTTGCTCTCACATTATGTAAATACAGTGCTAAATCAGCTAGACCAGAGTTTTAGATGCACACTCTGCCCTGGCTGGTGTTCTTCCTCCCCTGCTAACCGAGGAATTAATAGCATCTGCTAGAGTTGAAATCTTGACAGTTTATAAGGAGAAGTTGGCCTATTTACTTGTAATGGGTCAGTTGCTCCTCACCTCTTTGGATGTCCTCTAGATGTACCCAGGTGGCCCAGCTGCCAGGTAACAGGTGCTGCTGACCTACTGGTCCAAGGAAAGGGGTACCTGGGCTCATTGGGGCCTCTCAGATGTAGTCTTATGGCAGTGAGCATAAGGTGTGGCTCTCCTTTAGAGCTGCAATGGGTTTATTTTTGGTACATTTATTTCAGGCTGCTTCTGAAAAGGCCAGGAACCACATTTAGGCACAGATCTTGCCCTAAATTTACATAATCTTGATTTACACACTGGTTTGGTTCATGGTACTCTCATTTAGCTTTTTCTAAGACAGGTGTTTTTTGTGTATTTTTATATGTCTGTTTTTCTGTGCCCCTCTCTTTCCCTTGGTTTTCATTATTAGACTAACTTGTGCTGTGTCTCAAGTTGAGGCAAGACTGATTTGATTTGTTCTGTTTTGCCCAGGTTGCAGATGAATACATGTTTTCCCTGGAGGAGAATAAGAAGTCCAAGGGTCGCCGTCAGCCCTTAAGCAAGCTCCCCCGTCATCACCCGCTTGTGTTGCAGGACTGTGTCAGTGATGATGGTATGTGTTGTTCTCTCTTTTCACTACGAGAAAAGCAGCTCACCACATTAGGACGTGCTCTGACAGGACATCAGAAGGCCAAGCTGAGGGATAAGGGTTGGTCTGTGACTTTGCTGTTCTCCCAGATACTCTAAAGAGGACAGGATTTCCTTTTATGTCTAATTTACTAATGAGATTTCATTATAAGTTGGAATGTATCTTGATATGGGATAATTGCATGCAGGTTCTTTCCTTTCTTTTCCTAGAAGGTACAAGGGTGATTTTTCAGGATAGTAAATTCTGTCAATGATGCCAAGCTCTGTGCTGGATGTGTGGCTACAAAGATAACTTGAGATATGTCTGTGTCCTTAAGATGCTCCCAGGGTAGTTGGTCAAACTGACAGGTAAACAGATCTAGAGAAAGAAGAACTGTTAATCCAGGCAGAGGGATAGTTCATACCTACTTCTCTTCTCCATGGCAGGAAAGTATATTCACTATAATCAGCTGGAGCTTAAGGGCAAAGGCGGTGAGTGAGAGGTGAGGTAGGAGGAGTAAGGCTAGATCCTGGACAGTGTTTTGGTTTTTTTGGGTTTTTTTTTGAGTCGGAGTCTTATATTCTGTCACCCAGGCTAGAGTGCAGTGGCATGCTCATGGCCACTGTAGCCTCTATCTGCTGGGCTCAAGCGATCCTTCCACCTCAGCCTTCCAGGTAGCTAGAACTACAGGTGCATGCCAACACGCCTGGCAAATTTTTTGATTTGTTGTAGAGACGAGGTCTCGCCATGTTGCTCAGGCTGGTCTTGTACTCCTGAGCTTGGGTAATCCTCTCGCCTCCTTCTCCCAAAGTTGCTGGGATTATAGACGTGAGCCACCACGCCCGGCTGACAGTGTTATATGGGAGGCCAGAATAAGAACCTTTTCTCATAGGCTTTCAGGAGCCATCGATGTGTTTTAAGCAGAGGAATGACATAGTCAGATTAACTTCAGAAAAATTGCTTCTAGTTATGGCTTCTTGAGGGTGGCTTTGAGAGGAACAAATGAGTTTTCGTAATGTTCTTTGTGAGATATGAAAGTCTCTACAAGGAACTAGGATAGGAGAGTGGTGGTAGGGATGTGAGTGAAGATCTTTGGAAGATAAAGTCAGATGGATTTGGTGACTGCCTATGGAGCAGTGAGAGTGGCAGGTAAGGGAGGAGGAAGAGTGATTGTAGCTTTGGTTGGGTTTTGGAAACCTGAGTTCAGTGACTGGAGGATGTAGACTTGCGAATTAGTGCAAAGGTGGTATTTAATATCACTATTGGAATAAGTGAAGTCACTCATGGGGAGGGCACAGAGGGTGGTAAATAGAGGCTGGAGTTAGACAGTGGAAGGCAGGGGCCTATGAAGGGGACAGAAGGGGAGTAGGTAGGCATGTGTAAGGAGAACTGAGAAGTGTGGCACTGAAGCTCAGCAAGTGAGTGACATCAGCAGAGTGGTGTCTGGAGCCCAGAGATCCAGTAACATAGGTGCTGATAAGCCTTAACACTGACTCTGTTGGTGACCAGGCTGCAGCACCCTCAGGAGAGCAGAGGCAGTTTGTACTTGTTACTCTTGACTAATGCCAGGCCCTTTCCTACCCTATTCTTGTCCTGATGTGATATCAGTGCCCCATCCATGCTGGGTTTTTTGGTAGAAAGACCATGACAAGCTGGGATGTCCCTTGAGGTCCCCTCATCAGAAGTGTGACCAGACTATTATAAAGAGGAAAGTAAAATTACCTTTATGGTTCAACCACTGTGAATATTTTTTTTTTTTGAGTCGGGAGTCTCACCTGTGGCCTAGGCTAGAGTGCAGTGGCATGCTCACAGCCACTGCAGCCTCGACCTGCTGGGCTCAGATGATCCCTCCACCTCAGTTTTTTAAGTAGCTGGAACTACAGGTGCGCACCACCATGCCCAGCTAATTTTTTGATTTGTTGTAGAGATGAGGTCTCGCCATGTTGCCTAGGCTGGTCTTAAATCCTTGGGCTCAGACAATCCTCTCCCCTCTGCCTCCCAAAGTGCTGGGGTTACAGGCCTGAGCCACCAAGCCTGGCTATACTACGAACATTTTAATGTATTATCTTCTTTTTAACTTTTGTAGTCAAATATTAAATTATGTCCATATATGTCTTTTAAAAATAATGCAGTTGAGATCATAATACACAACCCCTTAACTTTTTTATAATGAAAAATTTTCAAATGTGGAGAAGCTGAAAGAATAAGAACATTTTGTGTTTTCCACATGTGTTCAACATTGTTAGAATTTTGCCATAATTGCTTTTGTCACTCCACAGGCTTTACTTATCTACATACATATTTGCTGTATCTCTTGGAAGTAAGTTGTAGTCTTCAAGTCACGTCACTGTAAGTACAACAGTAGACACCTCTCATGAACAAAGAATACCTCCTACATAAACAGTGGACTGTCACACAACCTAGGAAATTAAGCAGTAACTCCATAATGTCCTCTAATCTTCAGTCCAAATTCATCTCTCCTGCTTGTCCCAAGAATGTGTCTTATAGCTTTGAGCCATAGCAACTCAGTGAAATATACACGTCTTAAGTCTGTAGTGCATTGAAATTTTACATATATAAACTATAAAATTTTGGTTCCTGTAATTTTCACTTAACATAGTGAATATTTTCCCTCATCACTCAGTGTTCACAAACAGAATGTTTTTGGCTGCCTTTGGCTTTGTGAATGGAACAGATGTCAGTGTGTTGATTTTTTAGTTGTGAGTGTGAGCCCATCTGTTTCTGTTTCTTCCATCCTTTCTTGGTCACTCATGTGTTGGCCAGGATAAAGAAAAATATCTGTACTTGGGTTTTGGGCACCATTGCTTTTGACTAGACCTGAACGATGGTGCTTAGTGTTGATTTTTATCTACGATGGTGTCTTTACATTACACTGAGGCAGCTGCCAGATCTCTTTGGATTAATCAGAAAACTATCTGCACTGAGCTGGAGTTGCCAGAAATGAACACATGGGCATCTAGTACAAGTATGTGCCAGAGCTCTGTTTGAGCTGCTTTGTGTAGCACTCAGAGGCCTCTTGGAAAGCACTTCTGTCTGGGTAGAAGTAAGAGGATCATTGGAGGGCTTATAGCTGGGGATAGGTGATGCCACACGTAGCAAGATCCCGTGGGATGCTTCACGTGGCAGGGCCGACACAGAGCCGGTCTCCTGTCAGGGGCTACATGCTTGAAGCCTGCTTGGCCCCACTTGTCAAAGAGAGAGAGCCATGGCAATTGTGGCTGCTTATATGTCCTTCATATGGGGGAGCATCTGGGGAAACACTTTGTACATCAGTGTATTTGATATTTGCTTTTACTTCTACCAAAGACTGCCTTCATTTTATTCATGACCTTCAAAATTATTATGAGGTTTCCTTTACTTTTACTTTCTGTTCCTTGTTTTTTCTGGGAGTTAGTGGGCTGTGCCTTTGTCTCACTGATTTAGGGGAAACCGGGAAGTGTGCATCTTTATACTTACATGAGTTTTGTGAACAAGGGTTTTTTGTTTGCTTGTTTTCTGTTCAGTAGTGTTTCCCTTTCTTCTAGTAAAATGTACCCAGAGGGAAATTTTCTCCCCCAGGCAGAGACGAGGTCAGATGAGTTGTATGCTCTGCTGGCTAGAACACCTAGAAGATAAAATGTATCATATAGACCAGGAGTCTATGAAGGATCAGGAAGTAAATAAATATTTTAGCTTTATAATCCTCATTGGTCTCTGTGATTATCGCTTTTTTTTTTAATCCCCCCAACTCTTTAAAAATGTAAAAACAAAGCCAAGTGTGGTATTGCACACCTGTAGTCTGAGCTACTTGGAAGGCTAGGGCAAGAAGATCACTTGAGGGTAGCAGTTCAAGGCTGTAGTATACTATGATTGTGTTTGTGAATAGCCACTGCACTCCAGCCTGAGCAAAATAGCAAGAGCCCGTCTCTTTTAAAACAAAAAAAAGTAACAATTCTTTTTTTTTTTGAGTTGGAGTCTCACTCTGTCACCCAGACTGGAGTGCAGTGGCCGAGAGTGGAGCCTCGACCTGCTGGGCTCCGGTGATCCTTCCGCCTCAGCCTTCCAAGTAGCTGGAATTACAGGCGCGTGCTAC